TAGGCTACTATTAGATGGATAGCCTAAATGTCCTAATTCAGATGGGCTACCTGTTTTTTTTTTTGTTTTTTTTATGGTATATCAAAAAGTGTATATTTTTTTAAATGTGAGTGTTGGTACATTTGACCAGTTTTTACCATACTTTCAAAACAAAAATTAAAATAGGAAAAATATGCAATATGAAAATAATTGAAGACAAAATGTGTTTTACTGAGAAAAAACAAGATTTGGTTTTTAAAAAGCATTTTCCAAAAGGTACATCTGGAAAAAGGGGGGTCGCCTTATAATCAGGGTCGTCTTATATTCGGGCCAATACGGTAGTTTCGCTTTCACAATGAAACACACAGCATCGTCACGACATGGCTGCAGCGGCGGCAACAACAATACTACAGCGAGAATAAAAGTTAGGCCTTCTTTCTTTGCGTCAACATTTGGGCGGCGTTATGCAAATCTTCCCACATCATGACATAGATATGTGGGGGCGTGTTAGAACGAGCCGTTTTAGGTAGGCGTGGTTAACTCTTAACTTTTATAAAGAATATCTCTTTGGATTTGCACCAAGAGCTTGTAACACTCCAAAGAGAAAGGAACAATTGAAATCGCATCATATGACCCCTTTAATTTAATGGGAAGGACATGAAAATAACAGTAGGCCTACAGTAAGAACGACACACTGTGTTTGCGTGAGAGTGAGTGAAGGGAGGGAGTGGAGCAAAGGTTTCCCGTATGTAATGTACCGAAGCTCCGCCCATCCGCGCGTCTTTGCCCCGCCTCTTCCGCGCGTCGTCCAATAGCAGCGCGCCTCCTCCGCTCCTCCCTCCCTCCGCGCCCTGCGGCTCTTCCTCGCGTCGCTGCTGCAGTGAAACCCACGGAAACGGACGGGAAATAGGTTACGCTGCTGCTGTGTCAAAACCAGCCTTTTCTTCACAAAACAACAAGACCAAGAGCAGAATTTTCCTCTTATTTGTGTGCTGTATTTTACTGCTGTTCAATTCCGAGGGGGAATTCCGTCGTGCAGGCAGCAAAATGGTAAGGAACACAACACGCTTGCAGCGCTGTAAACAAACACCACATATCCTAGTTTCAAATGCGTCCTGCAAACACTGGCCAACACATTCAGCGTTGGCTAAGCTGTCATAGCATGAAGATTTATGGGTTTCCTATTGTGCATCTGCGAGGTTCAGTGTCTATTCTTAGTCTTTTTCATGCAAAGTGGTTGCAAAATGAACGCTTAGCTGAGTAACACAGTGCTGGTGCCTCGTGTGATGCTGTTTGGCATTTAAAGTCAAAGCCAGAGCTATTAATCATGACAATACATGCAGACATGACAGTCATTAAAAGCAGCAGACATTTCCATTGCTATTATTGCATCAACAGTTTGATAAATAAGAGAAATGGATACTGTTTCAAGTCGCTTCATCTCGCCTATTATCCATTTTTATACTTATTATTTCAATTATGCACTTAACCATGCAATGTAGCCTGCAGTACTGCAACTCTACATTCAGCACTTTCAATCATTAGTACAGACGTGCTTCATGCCCAGATAACAATTACAGTGTTGTGGTGGTACAGTGATGGTATCCGATGGCAATACCGTGATATTGAATGATTATAACATTTATGTAGTATTTACATGGTACTTCAAAGAGAACCGTGAATACTATAGAGACCCACGGTATTATTGTCCAGATGTACCATCATCACCAATGTTGTAAATGTCTGTTACACTAGAAATTCAGTAGTGAAGTTCTGGTGTTACCAAGTCATACACCAGAAACTCATTACACTTGGTTGTTAATGTGATGACTTACAGATTGCAGTGTAAACCAGCAAGAAGATGCCATCACCTATAGCCTACCTTGGAAAACAGCTTCTAGCTGATTATTTTCATTAAAGGGGTCATATGATGCTTTTTTAAAGATCATTATTTGGTGTAACAGAATATGTTGACATGCTTTAATGTTCAAAAAACACATTATTTTTCAAATACTGTACATTATTGTAGGTCCTCTATGCCCCGCCTCTCTCAAACACGTAGTTTTCTACAAAGTCCCTCCTTCCGACAAGCGCAGTCTGCTCTGATTGGCCAGCTGACCCAGTGCATTGTGATTGGCCGAACACTGCAAGCACGCGTCGGAAATGTAACGCCCCTTACTTTTCTGTAAAGACCGAACCAGAAAGGGGAACAGAGTCGCGTGACAGACAGTGATGAAGCTGGTATGTGTTTGCAGTACACAAGCCACGGTTAAGACAGCTGACTCCACTGTGATGTGAGGCTGTCTCTCTCTCTCTCACACACACACACACACACCC